TTGTCCCGGCAACACATATCCACACCCGACAATTAGAGATGGTAATTTCGATCGACCCGTTGGATACTCGCACCGAACCGATTTGGTCAAACTGGGGAATATTGGTTTGACTGGGGAACAGGTACGGGGCGGGGAATACCCGATTTTTTTAAATGGATAATGGTGCGGTTATGGTTCTATACTAATCCGCCCCGACACCGTCCCGTTCACTAATGGTGCGGGTATCCGCACCGTTACCCGATCCGTAACATTATTAATACCTAGTACCATGACCCAAATGAACTCCAGCCTGCATCATTTCTTCTAAATTGATGTTCCAATATCTTTTTGTCATTTAAATAGATCCCCCCATTTTAGATTCTGTTCAAGAAAAGAATTAACGAGGAATTTTGAATTGAATTAAAAACTTGTTCCAACGGAACCTTATCTTCTATAGTCATCTATACTAAATTGTGTACACTAAATCGTATATCTCATATACGTATATAAAGAATAATACACTAGAGGTCCACTTCAAAAACCCTAACATCTCTAGCTCAGTGTATTACGGATTTATGACTTAGGGCTCTGCTTCTTAATAGTGAGAACAGCTCTCTTCGATCCTTCTAGATGGAACAATGATAGGCCTGCAATTCGGCTCTACCACCGGTGGCTTCTAATCTTTCTCATTATCAAGGATTCGACTCAGTTCCTTCTTTCTTCTTTTTTACTACTTTTTTATTATGTTACAAGAGATATTGGGTGCTTGTCATACTAATGAATTTAGGACTAAAACTGCTTGATTGCTTGAACATTTACTTTTGTATGTTTTATGGTGCTTTTAATATATAATTTACTACGACGGATGTTTATATTAACAAGTAGGGTTAGAAATTGGTTATTTTGTATCAATTGGGCAAATGGGTACCCGTGGATAAACCAATTCCCCGTTAGGGCGGGTACGGTTCAAAAAAAAATTATCCGAACGGGTAATGGGGCGGTTTTGGGGCAAACATTTATCCAACGGGGCGGTTTCAGTTTTATGTGTACCCGTCCCCGATCTGCCCCGTTGCCATCACTACCGACAATCCCCCCAGCCCTGCCCTTTGCCCACCCCAGCCCCTCCGACGATGTTGCTAGACTCTTCATTGATCCCGCCCCCAACCCGCCCAACCCAAACAACTAGGCTCTGCCGCACCATTAATGTACCCTAGCCCGAGCCCACAACCCACTCCCCTGTTATCCATCATATCCCCAACCCTCATCGAACCAACATGATATTAAACCGGACTGGTATAGTACCAGACCAAAAACGGGGTTTGAAATGATTTTCAAAAAATTTGTTCCGAATCGGACCATACCGGTTCCAAATCATACCATGATCGATTCTCATTAAATGAGAACAGGTACTAAACTGGACCGAAATGTAGTTTATATAATTAATAATTATTATATGTACATGCATAACATTACTTTGATAGTTCGTTGGAAGCTTAGATCGGTCTCGCTGTCGGGGGAGGATCTTCATAGCTAGGGGTGAAGTCCATCCCAGATTTTCTTATTTTTTTTTATTATTATTATAGCCTTATAGCCGTTATAGGTATAGATTTAACAAAAATTGATGTTCAGTCCAGAGAGTTTGCAGTGCAGTCTACCAGAGTTTATCTCAAACTAATGTTTCGTGATTTATGTTTCATAATATTATAATTTATCTGAAATTTATTAATTATGTAATATGAAAATTGATAAATTGTGTGAATTTTTGGAGGATAGCTAAACATTAATTTTCTAGAAAAGTGACATATATTGTTTCGTATCAGTATGACATGGTACCATTCCGTTTAAAAATGAAACCGTACCGAACGGGTTTAGATCTAAGATCAAACCGAATTGAACTATTTGAATAGTCACGGTACGGGTACGGATTCGACAAAATATTGGACCAGACCGTACGCGCTCACCTCTAAATAAAAACATCCTAAGTAACCAAATGTAGTATATCGACATAAGGCCCCAATGAAGACATAGTCGTCTTCAACTTACAAATTAGAATATATAGTCAAAATGAGAAGGTATATTATCAAAAACTGATCTTAGAGCCCGTTTTGTAATAAACAAATTATATCAGCTATCGTCTTCAATATTACTTTTTCTTATAATTACACTATTCAACGCGCGAAATCAAAAGTCACGTGTTTGATGAAAAAATTCGATAAACCTCATAAGCTGGAAAATGGGGTTACCAAATAGGCTCTTAATTACTTAGTATATTCTAACTTCATTGAGTACGTATCTAGAAACTTATATCACTTTCTATAAAGTGTTGGCGTAATACCTTTTGACCCTTGATATGTGGTGCGATTCGGAACCGATAACAAAGACAGTCTTATTCACAAAATAGAAAATGTCGCTGTAAATGAGAAGGTACAATATCAAAACACTTACTGAAATCATTTATGATCTCATCATCTCATACATTATGTTATGTTTAGAGTTTGTTTGGTAACACTAGAATTCACTGAATCGAATGAGTCTTCTAAAATTGATGAAATTCTGGTTGAAGCGTTTAAATTATGAACAAAATGCTTAAAATATATTTCCTCCGTTCTCTTTGCCAACGCACAAGTTTGATCATTAATATCTTTCATTTTCTATCACTAAAAAATTTAAAATTCAGATTTCGAAATTTTAAATTAAGAAAAATTTAATACGGAGTAATATTTTAAAAATATAATTTATAATACATTAACAATTGAAATATTATAGTCAAAGTAGAGTGTATGAATAGTGAAACATTTACCAATATTGCAACTAAGAAAGAACGCAGTTAGTATTTTATAATAAAGTAATGAAAAAATTATACGAAAACATAGTTAAAACGACGTTCTATAACAATTATATTTTAGTCAATTCAGCCAGAAAAGTATCTCCAACTTTACTTATTCTGGTTGGTAAACAATTAAATGTGTAAAATTTAGTTACTTGTTTTTTTTTAAAAAAAATTATTGATATGACTAATAAGTTGAAATATGAATTAACATGCGACCTCTTGATCTCCAAAACATAAAGTTCGTTTAACCTTGAAAGACTAATAGAGACACTAGAGCATATTCATTAACGTAAATTTGAATTTAACGAAGCATTTTTTTAAGGGAAGGTTAAAAAATTCGTATATAATACTCGGTCAATTATCAATTTAAGATATCTATGTAACTAGAGATGGCAATTGTGACCGATCCGGTGGATACCCGCACCGAACCGCCCCGGTCAAACCGGGGAAAACCGCATTGACCGGGTAACGGGTATGAGGTGGGGAATGCCCGTTTTGTTTTTACGGGTAACGGGGCGGTTACGGTTTTATACATGTCCGCCCCATTACCCGCCCCGTACCCGCCCCGTTTATTTTTAGTTATATTTTTATTACATTCTTATCTATTATTTGTCCCACAACTAAAAGATGAGAATTTTTTATTTTCATTGTATATATATCAATGACAAATGTACTAACTCTAGTGTACGAATGAAAGTTCATAATAGATCTTAATAGTCTTGTTTGATTATTATCATATTCTTTCGAGATTAATTATTTTTCAGATTAAGTATTTTTAGATTCAAACTCATTTAGGTTGTCTTCTTTCTCGTCTTGTAGATATGCGAAACTTTAAAGTGGCGTTTGAGTCTAGAGTCGTCTAGGTAATGCCATTTTTTGCCTTTTAAAACATTATTTTTTTATTAAAATACCAATGACACATTTAATAAAGTGATTACCCGCGGTTACCCGCAGTTATACCCGTTACCCGTTGGGGAGGTTATGGTTTGGATAAAAATTACCCGTTGGGTAATGGGGCGGTTATGGGGCGGGGAATTACCAAACGAGGCGGGTACGGTTATATGTAAAACCGTTCCCGATCCGCCCCGTTGACATCCCTATATGTAACTATGCATCAATTTTAGTAAATAAGTTTCGTATGTTAATCTTATTTTAGTATGTTAAATAAGTTTTTATCAATTTAAGATATCTATGTAACTACGCATCAATTTTAGTAAATAAGTTTCGTATGTTAATCTTATTTTAGTATGTTAAATAAGTTTCTTCTATGATTGATGTGATTTATTGTTTGATCACGTGTTGTCCAGGCAGGTAACGTTGACCGATAAGCTCTAATAATTTTAAGTGAAGAAATAAGTAATGTTTTAAAGCTTCATCAGTTTATTTTGAAACAGAGAATACTTTTAATGTTGAATTTTTTTTTAGAATATTAGGAGCCCAGATCAAGGTTAGCCCAAATAAGTCTCTTTTATAATAAATACCTAGGGAAGTTACGTCTCTTTCTTTTATAAGAGCCGAATACTACTCTAATTGATTTCTCCATCCTGGCAGTTCGTATTTTCCTCCCAAAATATTTTCGTCTAAGCCGCTAAAGTTGGGTGATTTCTCAAATGACGGGAAACCATTGCCTGGCCTTCCAAAATACGGGAATTTTTTTAGGTTTTCTGAAAATACGGGTAACGGGGTTGGCTAATCCGAAAACTTTAGGGTTGGCAGGGGAATGCTAAAAAACGGATTCCTCTAATCCGAAATAAGCTTTTAATTTTTTTTATTGAAAAACTTGCTTTGTACGTACATAAGCTTTTAATTTTTTTTATTGAAAAATGCTACGTACACTTTTTTTTAAAACATGCTATATATACAAATAATTCAATATAAATTTGTTAGTGAATTATTTTTAGGCACCCAAAAATAAGGATTTTTTCAAAAAGTAAAGTTTAACCGATTTAATTTATTGTTGCAATCACTTTTGTAATCGAGGTATATTTTATATTTTATGATGAAGTGTTCTGAGTTTAATTGATTTGGATAATATGTACAAAAGTAAATAAATTTAGTGATATTTATAGTTGGAAAGACATGTATTATTTTATTAAATAAGAAATAATCAATTGTTATGTTAGAGATTGTAATAGTGAATATACATATTCAATTATATTGTATTACGAATTTATTCAATGTTCCCGCAAAATTAAATAATATAAATATTTCATTACTCATTTTTCTTGAACAACAACATGATAAAGAAATACAAATTTTTATTCATTGAAAAAGAGTTACAAAATACATATAAATTTTTACTCTTGTGCTCTCCTACTCGGACGCATATCCATTTCATTTGTAAATCGTGTCCTTTGAGGCCTACCGGTTTGACTGCGTCGAGCACTTTGAGGCGGTATCACTACATATCCGGTATCAGGCATCGCACTTACGTCATGCATAGGCATAATATCTGTAGCATACGTACGGATGTACGCACCTAATTTATACACGTCCGGGATGAGATGATCTACAGTTATTTCTAAGAAATGGCATGTTGCATAGGCGTGCACACATGGAAATCCATTTTGCTTCCAAAAACCGCAATCACATTCGCAACGTGAGAGATTTACCGTTACCGGCGGATAATCACGGATGGAAACAGAGTATATTCCCGTTGTTCGGTTATGCGGGACAATAGTGCACTGATGTCTTTTCTGTGAACGTTCAAGAATATCTTTCCATATATTTTGCGGATATAGGAACCCAGCTTGCCGCCACATCTGACCGGCCCTACGTCGATCGGCAAATAGTTGGACAACTTTGTTATAAGTTGCCTTAACCAGCGCGGTGATTGGAAGTGTTCGACATCCCTTTAGAACGTTATTGAAGCTCTCGGAAAGATTTGTTGTGAGGATGCCGTAATGTCGTCCATCGTCGAAGCACAGTGCCCAATTTTCACGTGGAATAGCGTTCAAATACGTGAACGCATTCTCATTCGTAGCACGAATTTGAGCCATTGTTTGGTAAAATTCACTCACCATGGGTGTACTCCCGGCCTGCCAACATAGCTTTTTCAGTTCAGTGCTCCTGAATTTTGTCATGAAATTGCTTCTAATGTGTCGGAGGCAGAACCGCTTCGAAACTTGGGAGGTTTTCAATTGAGGTACTGATTGATAGGCACTTAGGATGCCAGGGTGTCGATCTGATATTATGCACACATGCCGATTTGGTCTGACAACATAAGTCAGAATGTGTTCCAAAAACCGGGACCAACTATTTGTGTTTTCACTTTCCACAACTGCGTACGCGAGAGGGAAAATCTCACGGTTAGCATTCATGGCGACTGCAACCAAGAGATGACCCTTGAACTTTCCGTACAAGTGAGTACCGTCAACAGATACTACGGGCAGACAGTGTTCAAACCCATCAATGGAAGCTTTAAAAGCCCAAAATGCACGATGAAATTCATACGTACCATCATGACTGGTTGGTTTTGGTTGGAAATCTACCACTGACCCCGGATTTGATTCTCTTATCGCAAGCAACAAATTGGGTAAATCATTGTAGGCCGCCTCCCAGTTCCCGAATCTTCGTTCAAGGGCAATCAAACGTCCATACCACGCCTTTTTGTACTTGAAATTGATTCTGAATTTGTCGTATATGTCTTGCATCACGAGTTTAATGCTGTAGTCCGGATCAACATGCACTTTTGTAGCGATTACACTCGCTATGATCTTGCTCGTCATAAGCCTGTCATTACGGGCTCTTTTATAATCCACTCTGCAGTTGTGTAGTGGTTGATATTTTTTCACCTTCCACAAATTGGTGTTGAGAAGGTTTCCCGCCTGAATGTGCCACATACACATGTCATCATAGATGCAAACTGCCTTCCACGATCTCACACGTTTGTCATCTGTCTTAAAAATTCGAAATTGCCGAATATTTTCTATTGCTACGGCTTCTTTCAGTAAGTCGTATGAATCGTATATTTTGTCTATCGCAATAGTTTCATTATCACGATTCGCTGGTTCAACATATGGTTGTTCCAGCTCAATATCGGCCCATGTTGTGTCATGAGCGTCATCACTATCGTCAGAATTTGTTGTTGCATCGTCATTTCCAGAAAATTGTTCATAATCTGGATCATCTTCCTCTTCCTCTTCATATGTTGTTGAAGGGCCATCTTCATGTTCAACAGTATGCGGGTTGTAGCGTCCGCCGTATCTCGTTGATGGTCCGTCATCGTTGGAGTGGATATTGTGAAAGGTTTCACAATTGTGGGTGTCACCTCCTCCATATGTTGATATTTGTGGTTGGACTATAGAGGTTCTTCGGGCATCCAGGAAAATATGTAATTCTCCGTACTCTCTTTCAGCAAGTCGGAAAAAGTGCTTCCAAGTATCATCATCATGGATGGGCCACAATCTTGATGCCACATACACACGATTTTTGTACTTCGGTAATTTTCCGTGAATGGATACAATTTCTCCAAAACCTCTCTGCGCACACTCTTCGACAATCCGCTCGTTTATAGCGTTAAAGTCATCGTCATTGCTCATTAACAGCGCTGCGCTCGGAGGAATGGAATACTCAACTTCATCATCTTTCATAATAATAGAACCATTCCAGTGGACACAAACTGGAGTTTTATGCTCAGTTGCCATTTTTTATATATGGTAAGTAATATCGTAGTAAATATAGGGAGTTGATGATAGATAGCTAGGAACTCTAAGATGATAAATAGATAGCAAGAATATGGTGACTGAGGATTTGGGTGCAAGTGATGAGCCTTTTATAGTAAAAAAAAATTAGTACTTCGTAGGAAAGGTGTGTGTAATTTCTTTAATAATAGTAGTTATGAGTATTTGGGTGCAAGTATTTGTGTAGAATTATTGATTCCCGAAGTGACAGGGAATCTATCAGAAAAATTAAAAGTTGATTGATTTAATTTAAAGTGAGTGGAATTTGTACACTTTTGTACCCGGAATATTTTTTTTAGATCAAAATTATTGATAATTGGGAGTGAGTTTAGGTGGGTGCAAGTGGTTGGGAGAGGTGGTTGAAATTATTTCGAATAATAAGTGGTTGAAAAAAAATTGAATGTTGTGTAGAATTATTGATTCCCGAAGTGACAGGGAATCTGTCAGAAAAATTAAAAGTTGATTGATTTAATTTAAAGTGAGTGGAATCTGTACACTTTTGTACCCGGAATATTTTTTTTAGATCAAAATTATTGATAGTTGGGAGTGGTTTAGGTGGGTGCAAGTGGTTGGGAGAAGTGGTTGAAATTATTTCGAATAATAAGTGGTTGAAAAAAAATTGAATGTTGTGTAGAATTATTGATTCCCGAAGTGACATGGAATCTGTCAGAAAAATTAAAAGTTGATTGATTTAATTTAAAGTGAGTGGAATCTGTACACTTTTGTACCCGGAATATTTTTTTTAGATCAAAATTATTGATAGTTGGGAGTGGATTTAGGTGGGTGCAAGTGGTTGGGAGAAGTGGTTGAAATTATTTCGAATAATAAGTGGTTGAAAAAAATTGAATGTTGTGTAGAATTATTGATTCCCGAAGTGACAGGGAATCTGTCAGAAAAATTAAAAGTTGATTGATTTAATTTAAAGTGAGTGGAATCTGTACACTTTTGTACCCGGAATATTTTTTTTAGATCAAAATTATTGATAGTTGGGAGTGGGTTTAGGTGGGTGCAAGTGGTTGGGAGAAGTGGTTGAAATTATTTTGAATAATAAGTGGTTGAAAAAAAATTGAATGTTGTGTAGAATTATTGATTCCCGAAGTGACAGGGAATCTGTCAGAAAAATTATAAGTTGATTGATTTAATTTAAAGTGAGTGGAATTTGTACACTTTTGTACCCGGAATATTTTTTTAGATCAAAATTTTTGATAGTTGGGAGTGGGTTTAGGTGGGTGCAAGTGGTTGGGAGAAGTGGTTGAAATTATTTCGAATAATAAGTGGTTGAAAAAAAATTGAATGTTGTGTAGAATTATTGATTCCCGAAGTAACAGAAAATCTGTCTGAAAAATTAAAAGTTGATTGATTTAATTTAAAGTGAGTGGAATATGTACACTTTTGTACCCGTAATATTTTTTTTAGATCAAAATTATTAATAGTTGGGAGTGGGTTTAGGTGGGTGCAAGTGGTTGGGAGAAGTGGTTGAAATTATTTCGAATAATAAGTGGTTGAAAAAAAATTGAATGTTGTGTAGAATTATTGATTCCCGAAGTGACAGGGAATCTATCAGAAAAATTAAAAGTTGATTGATTTAATTTAAAGTGAGTGGAATCTGTACACTTTTGTACCCGGAATATTTTTTTTAGATCAAAATTATTGATAGTTGGGAGTGGGTTTAAGTGGGTGCAAGTGGTTGGGAGAAGTGGTTGAAATTATTTCGAATAATAAGTGGTTGAAAAAAAATTGAATGTTGTGTAGAATTATTGATTCCCGAAGTGACTGAGAATCTGTCAGAAAAATTAAAAGTTGATTGATTTAATTTAAAGTGAGTGGATTTTGTACCCGGAATATTTTTTTTAGATCAAAATTATTGATAGTTGGGAGTGGGTTTAGGTGAGTTCAAGTGGTTGGGAGAAGTGGTTGAAATTATTTCGAATAATAAGTGGTTGAAAAAAATTGAATGTTGTGTAGAATTATTGATTCCCGAAGTGACAAGGAATCTGTCAGAAAATTAAAAGTTGATTGATTTAATTTAAAGTGAGTGGAATCTGTACACTTTTGTACCCGGAATATTTTTTTTAGATCAAAATTATTGATAGTTGGGAGTGAGTTTAGGTGGGTGCAAGTGATTGGGAGAAGTGGTTGAAATTATTTCGAATAATAAGTGGTTGAAAACAAATTGAATGTTGTGTAGAGTTATTGATTCCCGAAGTGACAGGGAATCTGTCAGAAAAATTAAAAGTTGATTGATTTAATTTAAAGTGAGTGGATTTTGTACCCGGAATATTTTTTTTAGATCAAAATTATTGATAGTTGGGAGTGGGTTTAGGTGGGTGCAAGTGGTTGGGAGAAGTGGTTGAAATTATTTCGAATAATAAGTGGTTGAAAAAAAATTGAATGTTGTGTAGAATTATTGATTCCCGAAGTGACAGAGAATCTGTCAGAAAAATTAAAAGTTGATTGATTTAATTTAAAGTGAGTGGAATCTGTACACTTTTGTACCCGGAATATTTTTTTTAGATCAAAATTATTGATAGTTGGGAGTGGGTTTAGGTGGGTGCAAGTGGTTGGGAGAAGTGGTTGAAATTATTTCGAATAATAAGTGGTTGAAAAAAAATTGAATGTTGTGTAGAATTATTGATTCCCGAAGTGACAGGGAATCTGTCAGAAAAATTAAAAGTTGATTGATTTAATTTAAAGTGAGTGGAATCTGTATTTTAGTTGTTGTAAATGTACATATTATATAAGGAATACATTTCTTTAAAAACTATATTTTACTCTTCCAAAATTTAACATCGAATAAATTTCATTTTTATCACCGCACAAATGTATTTAATATGGAGAAAGTTATAAATTAAAGAGTATTCAATATCTGGAATATTATTACTAGATATTACGTATGCATGCATTAAATTAAAAAAAAAGATTAATATCGGGACAAAAAGCTTTTTAAAATGAGAAATATATAATAAGAATGTTTTCTAATCAGGAGTAAAATACTTCGTAGCACTTTTTTTTTAAAAAAAAATACTTCGTAGCACTTTTCTCAAATAAGAGCAAACTTACTTTATTCCCAAAATAGAACTCATATACTCTTAAATAGGGAAGATTTTATTCTTTTATTTTTCAAGTATGAGGAACCCAAGAAATTTTTTTAATAGACTTCATAGGTTTCTTAGGACTACAAATTACTACAAATTACTACAAATTACAAATTCAATTGATAACTTAATTCAAAATTATCAATTAAATTATTGAATTATTGAAACGTAATAGTAAAAGTACCTGATAATAATAACATAATATCAAATTCGATTGATAATTTAAAAGTACAAATTCAATTCATAATTGATAAAACTAATTACATACAACTATTCTGATTCATCAGATTCATAGTGTCGACCTGGCACCACGAAGTGACTCCCTGTCCCACAGCGTCGAGAATGTATATCCCGTCTCGGCCTATGTTCAATTGGCGGTTGTGTGCTTGGCCCTGCTTCTTGCCCCATCCCACTCTGTACATCTGATCCTAATAAGTTGTTCAACCAATCAATTGGTGAATTTAAAAAGGTGGGACGTGTCTCATATGTAGGCTGTACATGTGGAATAAACGATGGCGCATCAAACGTCGGAATGTATGCACTAGTCGGTGTAGAGTATTGATTAGGTACATGAGATGAGGAAGGGATGTGTGAATGAATATGTGAAGATGGTTGTCCTTCTTCTTCACCACCATCTTCGTCATCCTCTTCCTCCTCCTCCTCATCATCATCATCATCATCATCATCATCATCGTGATTATCATCATCACCATCATCATTGTCGACGTGTGGAGCAACATAACCGCGTCCGTAACGCCGACCTCTAGTGGCCGCGACTCTTCTACGGTCTTGCTGAAGTGGAGGATGATCATCCACTGCATCATCATGGGCATCCCCATAGAAAATGATGTCTTGATGAAGCACATTCTCGGCACCTAATCCTGTAAGGCATCGTGCAATTTGCTCGCGAATGTCTTCGACGTCAAATGGAGCTGTCATGCGCCGATAGATATCGCCCATACATTGCATCTAAAATTCAAAAGTAAAGTTATTAAATAATAATAAACATTTCTAAGTTGAATAATTACACATAAAATACTTACTAGTGTACTTGTCTCCCTGTTAGTAGTTACATAACCCGTTGTAGGTCGACCATGTAACGGATTGCAAATCCGTCGTTTCCCGACATTTGCGTACCATTCACGGTACGCAGGAGTGTAGGTGGGATGATCAACGAACTCAAATGCGATACGACGATTGTGCCTCGCCGCCCATAGTGTCAATGGCCATCCAGAATTTTTTGCACCACTTGCATGGTGGCTAGCTTGTGATTCCGCTGCGGGAGGAATATGTTGCATTGCACCGAATTGACGACAAAATCTACCGGGGTAGTACATCTCAGAAATGTCACAATATATAAGCATGACATTAGATGTCCACAAATCTACTCCCGCGACGCAGAACCTGGGGAGGGCTTGTAATGCGTATGGGCGCCACACGAACTGGATCAATATTATTTGAAGTTAATTCAAAAACATATTTATTTTCTATTAAAATAAAATGATATTGTTAATTATAACCTCGTTCTCTCGGATCCCGTCCAACTGATCTCGATAAATACGTAGAGTATACCGAGAACTTTGTTCCCAATTGTGCCGACATGCCCACCTTCATAAAACTAAGTTATTATACCATGACCTACAAATATATTTAATATCCTAATACTTATTATGTAAAATTTCAAATTATACCTGCACCCATAGGGCATATCTTGTAGATTCTCATATGGCAAAACGTTTCGCGGCCGCACCATGGGCAATCTCTCCCACGCCCAAATCTGCAATAGAAGCAAGCATCCCCCAATATTTCTCTTGTTCGCTTTGGCGGCCTTGCACATGTTGTAATACAGGAACCCCAATACTGCTGAGCCCCAACTCCACCGTCGTGCTTCACCGAGCGGTCCCTGCAACAACTCTAAAAAGTACAATTTTATTTTGTTCCCGGTAGTGGAGGGGAA